CCTGACTGCTCATTGGAAGGATTGATAATGAAGCTCAAGCTCAGATACTTTGGTCACCTAATGCAAAGAGAGGACTGTTTGGAAAAGACCCTAATACTGGGAAGGATTGAAGGCAAAAGGAGGAGAGGACAGCAGAGGATGAGATGGTTAGATAGGATCACTGAAGCAATGAGCATGAGACTGAGCAAACTCAAGGAGGCAACGAAGGACAGGAAGGCCTGGCACGATATGGTTCATGGGGTCACGAAGAGTCGGACACGACTTAACGAGTGAACAACAACAACAACAGAAGAAGAAGAAGAAGAATATTTTTAGTTACCTACTGTTCCCATCTAAAACTACTCTAACATATTTCAATGATCACTCCCAGGCCAATGCAATTTTCTTCTTGCTTGCATAAAGCTGTATATTTGCTTACGGTTACCCAACCTAAAACAAAAAAAATAAATCTTGTGTCAGACTCAGATGCCAACTCTGCTGCTCCCCTCTCCCCAGATCTAGTTTGACAACACCATTTCAGGATATTTTTTTATTTATTATTATTATTATTATTATTATTATTATTATTATTATTATTTCCCATTTAAATTTCTACTTTATGTCTTGTGGCTTGAAAAATAGTCTTGCTAAAGAAAAAAATCCCACTATTTGTATGAATCGGCTCTCCAATAGAATGTGTATGTGTGTGTTACCACTTAACAATTGCTTGGGAAATGACCACTATTAATAAAATAATTTTCACTTCCTTTATTTCCTTCATTTCATTTTGCTGCTTATAATTTCCCATCAACTATGGGTAAATGTATACTTCTAACTCCTGTAACATTGCATGTGTCTGCTTATGTGGGCTCTAGTACTGTACACAAAAGCTCCTGCCACAATAGATCTGATAGTCTTGAGGTGCTTCTGTGTGTAAATGTGTTTTCTGCAGCAGTCTATCAAAGACGCCCCTCTGAAAAGATTTTAAAATGCATTCCTCTGAGCCCCAGCCATAAATGTTAGTTACATAACATATTCAATTTTTGTAATTCTCCTGCCAGTCCTGGCTGCTTCTTGCAACATGCATCCATAACTGCTTCTGTTTCATTTCTTGCAGGTATCACCATGATCTTCCTTGTTCTGGTTGTCTGGATTACTCCCTGTATGGCTAATCAATTTCTCAGTAGCTTTGTAAAAGCAGAACTCCAGAAAAGTTCCAAGCAAGTGATCTGCAGTCTCCCAGGACCACCAGGACCTCCAGGTGCTCCCGGAGCTCCGGGTGCTCCTGGGAATATAGGAAGGATGGGTTTCCCAGGAACAGATGGACAGGATGGAAAAGATGGAGAGAAAGGAGAGCCAGGGGAAGAAGGTAAGAGATGGCTTCCTTTTCAATATGCTTTTCTATTTCAGAAGGAATCCAGAAAGAGCAGGGAAGTCTAAATCAGCCATTACTAAATCCATTTACCTTCACCAAGCTCTTCCTAAATAGTACCTGTGCTCCAAAATCAAATCAAGGAAGAACATGATTTTTTAATGTATTCAAGCAACCAAGGTGTTAATTATGGCATCCTGCTGGAATTTATTATTTCAGAAGTCCATAGTCATAACTTATGAAAAAGGTGCAAAAAGTGTTGTTCGGAAGCTTCATGCAGCCCACCAGTATTACTCTTTTATGGCTTCCAAAACCTTCCCAAAGCAGCTGGGTCTAAAACTTTAGGCCCTTTGGAGAACGGGATTTAAAAGGCAAAATATTTTTTTGCAGCTTTGTAGCTGTTTACGGCACCTATCATGTTGCTTAACCCCCCACCCTCCCAAACGCCTTCCCAAAGCAGGTTTGGGACCTGCTCAGTTTGGGAACATTGTGCTTGACATACTACGTAAAGGCTGGTGTGGCCCTCAACATGACAGATGTTACAATCACTGATTGTAGATTGCACAATTAACTATTGGTGGATTCACACATCATGCTAATCCAAGTTTTAACAAGGTTTTGTGAATAAATAATGATGGCTTGTTTTGCACATAATAGACGAGTTCACACTTCACATTCAACCCATTGTAGGAACCCAGGCAAGAAAACATAGATATCACTGTCAAATGGTCTATTCTAAGTACTCTTTTCTCCATCAGAAATGAGATGAGTGGTGACTTTTGAATTCCTTCCCCAGAGAGGTCCATCTAGCTATCCTCCTCCTCACCTTTAAACAGCAAGTAAAAACAGTCTATCCAAGGTGAATATTTGAAGGAGTGAGAGAAAATAAATGACCAAAGAAGGCTTTTTAGGTGCTCTACATTTTTAATTTTAACCAAGCTTTTTATCAGTTGAGCAGGTTTTAGATAGTTCAGCTCAAGTTTTGTAGAAAAACACAATACAAATTAAATGAAACTGACTGAACGGACACAGATGTTAATATTCCTTCTGGCTCCTAGACCTAATCAGAGATGATATAGAGGGGAAAGATCTGTCATTGTCTCTGGGATGATGAGGCCCAACTGGGGTGTAATTGTACTGTCCAGCTGACTTTCTTTATAAATAGAAATTATCTAACATTGGGTTGGATCCAGCATAAGCTTCCTGCCAACAGGACTCCAGACCATTAACAAAAACCAGGAGTAGCCTTTTATCACCTTTTCAGACTAACAAATGTTATAATGCCTACGTTTTTTGTGAGCTACAGTTCACTTTATTAGATGCACAGAGCAGCTAGACTGATATAGGATTTAAATTGGGATGAGATAGGGAAAACAGGGTATTTATGGAAATACAGGTTGCATGTGGGACAGATTACAAGTCCCTTATCAATTAACAAGTGTGATGTGTTAAAACCCCATTATATTTGTTGAGAACTTCTGAGATAGCTTGAAACCTTTTGATGCGGTTCAGCAATCTCTCACTCAATTGTGCTGGCAAATTTTTTTTTTCCAAAATGCCTAAATGTAACCTTTATTAAAAGAGTATGCCTTTTAATAAAATTTGTTTCTCTGAAAAGATGCTACCAGACTCCTCCTGACTTCTGGCTACCATAGATTAACATGGTGCTCCTCCTACAAGCTCTCCACTTAGAGGGGACTTTGAATTTCATGGAGTTTTGTATTGCTAGAAGAAAGGGGACATGATTTTTACCAATTACCTCTTTCCCCATTAAAAAATCTCCTCCAGAAGATTGACAGAGTTTTCAGAACAATGAGGGTGTGTGGAAAGCAGAATTGGCAAAAATGTCTTCCCACCCAACCCCCTTTTAGAGAGTGGAAATTTCTGAATGGAATTTCACTTGGGATGTTTCCATTTGCAGCAAAACTCTGATCCAACCCTGTATTTAGCATACAAACAGGGAGGAGTAACTGCAAATATGAACAATAATTCAATTGGTGATTCTAACATACATATTGCTTCTTATGTAGTATCTTTGTGCTGGAGATATTGACTCCATTCCCACATAACACTAAGCCAGAATTCTAAAACCACGGTTTGTTCAACAAGTTGCAGTGGTCTTGTTTACACATACAGTAATAGTTTAGATATCATGCCAAGCCCTGAACAAAACGAACTGTATTATGGCTTTGCAGGATGTGTGAATCCTTGTTTTTCTCTCCAATACCTATCTAGAAGAAAATATATTTTCTCATCTACATTTTCTAACAGAGGGACCAGGACGAGAGATGGGGGTACAGTTAAACAGTGCAGTTCAAAATCTCCCAGTGGGTGCAATCTAGGTAACAGAGAGCGCTTTTTTTAATGCTTCCTGGGTTGCAGAGCCAGTTTCGGTCCTCTGGTTGCTATGTCCAAAAGCACAGAAACACAAGTCCCTTGTATGATCACTCACTGAGGTTGTGTTTTCTCACAGGTACCCAAGGCAGGACAGGAAATCCAGGCCAACCAGGACCAAAAGGGAAACCAGGAGCCATTGGCAAAGCTGGTCTCCGTGGTCTAAAAGGCACCAAGGGAAACCCTGGAAAAAGTGGAGGGTCTGGAAAGAAAGGGCCCAGAGGAGCCCGTGGAGACTCTGGGATGTCTGGCCCTTGCAACTGCAGGGCCAAGAAAGCCAAGGCAGCTTTCTCTGTTGCCGTGACCAAAAGTTACCCAAAAGAGAGGTTGCCAATCAAATTTGACAGGATCCTCATGAATGAAGGTGGAAATTACAACGCTTCCAGTGGGAAATTTATATGCAGCATCCCCGGCATCTATTATTTCACTTACGATATCACGCTGGCCAATAAACACTTGGCTATTGGGCTGGTGTACAATGGTCAGTACAGAATAAAAACATTTGATGCCAACACCGGGAACCATGACGTTGCTTCTGGATCGACAATCCTTTCCCTGAAGCAGAAGGATGAGGTCTGGCTGCAGATATTTTACTCAGAACAGAATGGGCTGTTCTATGATCCCTACTGGACAGATAGCCTCTTCACTGGCTTTCTGATATACGCTGATCAGGATGATCTCAATGAAATATAGGGGAGACTGCCAACCCCAACAAACCTAATGGGAGACGAGAGCATGAAAAATTATGTTGATCTGTGCAAAGTCCTTCAGCTGCAAAAGCAGACCTAAGTGGACAGTGGCCCAAAGCTCCTGCAATATTTATATAATTAGTCTAAACCTTTGGGTTTCTTTGTCTCAGATAGTGCAGATGGTTAAAGAATCATTCTTTTCCACAGACATATATTCACAAATGATTTATAAAAGAGAGGGAAGGGAAGAAATTTTTTTTATTGAAGTATATGATTCCATTATTTGAAAGGGAAGTCTTGTGCGGTCCTCAATATACATATTGCTATGATTACTATCAGTGTCCTTTTCTGCAAAACACAAAACAAAGAATTGTTACCCTATACCAACCAACACTGATGTTCCTTCTTTAGAGCAGAAAGAGATGCCTACGTTGCGCTGTAAATGATAGTCAGCTATTACTTAAAGTAAAACTGAATTTATCTGCCTAGTTTCTGATTGCCTGCATGGAAGGACAATTGCCTCTGAGAGTTTCAGGAATGTCCTTTTCAACAATGCTATCTTTAATCAGGGAAGCCAGAGATGTCTCTGGAAATCTTCTGCTGTAAAGCATGTGCTCCATTGCTAGAACTATGTGGTCTCTCCCCTAAAATCAGAACACCACTACATAAAATTCCTCTTGATCACTGTGCATGTCCTTAATAACATCAAAAGGATCTGATGTGCTAAAAAAATGTAGTGTTACTTTTTTTTTTTAATTCATTCAATCATGTCCAATTCTCAGAGACTGCCTGGACAAGTCCCTGCAGTTTTCTTAGCAAAATTTTTCAGAAGTGGTTTGCCATTGCCTCCTTCCTAGGGCTGAGACAAAGTGATTGGCCCAAAGTCACCCAGCTGGCTTTGCGCCTAGGCAGGACTAGAACTCATAGTCTCCCAGTTTCTAGTCTGATGCCTTAACTACTACACCAAACTGGCTTTCCGTGTGACTACTAAAAAGTTACAAATATTCACAAGTATTCCATTTTCCCTGAACATCTCCTTTATCCTATGAACGAGTACAGCTGGTATTTGGTTCTCAAACCAAATATATAAGTAAATAGAGAATTAGTTTAAAAACATGTCTAAAGAATCAAATGTGCCATAGATCTCCCTATACGTGACCCTGTTTCATTAGGATCTGATTATATGATGGTTAGCAAAGCATTATAGGGTGGATGTTATAACTGGAATCCTGTAACAATGGCTTGATCTAAATCTCTCCTGAGAAAGGGGTGTTAGATTCTCACTCCATGTATGCTAGTACCCACATGCAAAATAGAATTAATGGTATGATTTTATACTGTAATAATATGTTAATGCTGCAGATTACAATAGTACAATAGCAAGATAGTAAAACAGGGCTACATTAATTTAGATTTATTCCAATTTTTAAAAGTTTTAATTTTATTAATCCCTATTCTCTTTCCATCACTGAGAATTTATTTTTAATTTGCCTTAAAACATTCTGTTTGGAAATACCCAAAAGTAAGGGATAGCCAACCAACTGCTATCCTCTTGACCTGGATTGACCCAGAGAAATAGTTTGTTGCTTAACAGTTCAATAGCAAAGCATTATTTTGGAAGCTCTAGATGACCATATTCCCCGATGATTTCTTATGACACACACAGTTTTTTGTTTGTTCATTTTTTTCTTTACAAGCCACTGTGGTTGATAGATACTCTCATGAATAGCTATATGGAAGCAATGTACATAAATATTGTAGGTTACTGTAGTAAACCTGCACATCTGTATTTTACAGCACTTCAGGATCAGATCCAGACCAGATTAATTTCAAGATGTCATTTGTTTTGGGAGCTCTCTGCTCTTTCCTTTCCTCTCTTTTACTCTCCTGCCAGGTACCCGGAGGATATTTACTTAGCAGTTTGGAAGAAATGTTCTTGTTTGTCAAAGAACCACTACAATCACCACTTGGATGCCTGGGAAGCAGACACTTCCTCTTGCCCATCTCTCATTCACATTTTTGCTCTGCTGCTCTGGCCAAGGAAGGAAGAAAACCTTCTGCTAGGCTGAGGCCAGAGAGTGACAATTTATCTCTCCTGAAACAGCAGAGAGTTTCTGGGGGTGCACAACCAAGAGCTGGGGCTTAACTTTGCTAGTTCATCTTGTCTTCTATGGCTTCTCAGCTGCAGGTTTTTCATTCACACTGTAGGTAATGCTTCAGACATTAGATAATAATATACTTGCATATCATGGCCAGATTTCTAATCCAGGGTTTATGATTTCACCAAAACCAGAAGCTTCACTGGAATTTTCAATAAACAAAAATGACTCAGGAAGTTATAGCCATGTTGTGAAGCCCTTCATAAATGCCTAGGAACATATAATGAATCAAAGCAAACTAGAAACACTTCATTTTTTCCAGAGAAGTTCTTTAACCAGAATTCTTTAAATAAACCAGCAGGCCAATTTAAATCAGGATATCACAGTACCATGCTCTGAACTACAGGATGAAAACTCTAGTTATGACAAGGAACGCCATGTGTTATTATAAAAATTAAAAGAATAATTGGATTAAAACCTATTGAAAAGCCATTTACAAAGTGTAATTCTAAGGAATTGTACAAGGCTACAATAACTTATTTTCCTGTTAATAGTACAACTGATTTTATGTATTTCCCATGCTGTGGAAAATGTTTACATCCTAATTACTTAGAACCACTAGTGGCTTTTCAACTAGCATTTAACACAATCAGTACCAAGGTACAACTGAATTCAAGGTCATGGGAGCAGAAAACTTAAGAAATGAAGAGGAGTGTGACAAGTTTCTGGGACAGGTTTCATTCAAATTTCAGATATCTGAATAAAAGTCATCTATATCGCCACAAAGTAAACCTTGTCAGCAGGACCTGCCAGTCTTAGAGACGAAGCCACATTTAAGAAGCCTGGGGTTGAACAAGGCATTCAGGATACCATAATGTGCTTTGAAATCATGTTTCATATTTGTCATACCATATTAGGTCACTGTACAACATCTACAGTAATCTTTGTCCTGTTACCAAATGTGGGGTTTGCATTTCGTATCTCTAGAGTGAGCATCTCTAGTGTATGTGCTGTGCTGTGTAAATACTGCATTAATTTAACAGTGGTTAACTATTATATCAATACCAAAAAGCAAGAAACAAGATCATTTCAAACTATCTAGTCCAACATAATGAATTCAGTTTGTGCAAATATGCCTTGAACCCTACAATGGGTGGGGGTAGTGGGAGATTTAAGAGGATTCTAAGTGTTAGCGCTGATTTTTGGCAAAATACTAGGAGCTCTCTGCTCTGGTTTATTGAAAACCACCGAAAAGTTTATCTTTTCTTTTGAGCCACTACGACTCTGCAGACCTTGTCAGTGATCCATTTTTCCATTGGTAGAAATGCTTGTCTCACCATTTCTCCTGACTTCTGCTCAATCTAGCCACTACTCTCTCCCCTTCCCCACCACAGAAGTTCAGGATCCTGCTCCTGAGTCATGTCTCTTCATGTATACATTGTATAAAACTTGCCTCTATCTGTCCCCATCCCATGGACATAACTACTGGGAAAAGCACCTAATTGCAAAATTGTCAAAATGCTTGCATTTCATACCTTCCCAACTCAAACACATGGAGGAATATTGTCAAATGGCTGGGAAACCTTTGAGAGATTTCTTTGCTTTTGTTGATGTTTTTTACAGTCTTCCTTTCCTCCTCAAGCTTCTCCTGTTTTTGCATACCACCGGAAACGTGCACACAAATACTATACCTGTACCAAAAGACATTAACGGGTGCAGGCAGTAGGAATTCATTTTACTTCCTTTTTGGGTGGAGCGGGATTTTGTTATTCTGTATCTGGCAGTAGCTCTGGGGTGGGATAAAGTCCTGTAGAAGTGCCCAAATTAAGTCAGTAAGAAGGGAAAAAAACAATAAACTATAGTTGGTAACCTTGAGCCTTTGCTAAATCTACCAAAATGCCACAAAGTTAAGGACAATGTTCCAAACTGTCTCACCATTTTCATCAGGCTAAATATTGATCAAAACAAAGCAAGCAGGAGAAAAGTAACAGAACAATTGCAAAATAGATGAAAATTGTTTTCTACCATATGAAGATGGGACGTGCGTGAGAAATGATGCAGAGTCCTGTGAGGAAAACGTCTGATGGCTCCCACATCCTTCCATGTATAAAAGGGAGAATTCTAAATCCAGGAAGACTTTGATCACTTTTGTCTGGTCTGCAGACACTGGAACTCAAGCAGATAACTGACCGAGCTCAAATTTGCCTATGGCTTTGTAATATTTTATAGTAAAATATAACTAGATGTGAGTTTCTTACTGAAGGAATAAACTGGCATGTTTCTGCTTCTTGTCAGTTGACCTCAAAACCTATTGTCAGGCAGAAAGGCATATATGTCTCTGCCCAGAAGCATGATAAGAAATCCTCCCAAGTAAATAACGTATACATCTACCCAAATAAAATCTATATAGCTGGAGGATGATGGCAGTGGAAAAAGGTGTAAGGCTTTATGATCTGAGCTCAAAACAAACAGTGTCTTCTTTGAAAGATGAACAATTTCAGTCAGGCACAAAATAAACTGAATATATTTTGGTAGATTTTTATATGTACTGATATTTTATCCTGACAGTTCTTGCAAATCTAAACTGAAATTACTTGGTAAGGAAAGAAAAGAAGAGCAGAAAGTCAGCAAAGTATCAGGCAAATGACCTCCTATCATTCTGAAATTTCACAATAGTGCTCACTGCACAAGGCCACCCAGAAATTAAACAATTAATGCCATCTTTACCTTCCTGTGTACAAGATGCTGACCCAGATATAGAATTCTGAATGAATTCAAGCTCTTTTCAAAACACAACTAAAGGAGTGTTTTAGCACATGTTCTTTATGTGCAGTTGCAAATGACTAAAACATCAGATGGCTTTCCATTTGCATGTCTAAGCTCTGGAAGTTTGTATCTTCTGTAAACATATAAAGCCTATTGCTTCTCTCACATTTCCTGGGGCTCTTTGAAGTGTGCCATTAATGATGCATTACTGGTGAATCAAGATTGAGGCAGGGGAACATTGTTCCCCACACACTAGAGGTGGCATGTTAACTTTTACAGTGGAAGAATTTGCGTGTGTGTGTGTATGTGTGTGTGTATGTGTGTATATATATATATATATATATAT